ATAGTAGGCAGCCTTGTCTTAGAAGTCTAGTACACAAATCAATTTCCCAGTTATTAGACATATGGATACATATGAATTTACTGCGTCGTTGATTCAATGATGGAATGTTCGTCAACCACGCCTCACGTGATCTGAGGTTCGACCCCCGACCGACACACTGCTAAGACTTGCTCAGCTGTTAGTAAAGCCAGTAAGTAAACAGGGAAGGCTGGACATGTGAGGCTAGCAACTCCACTCCGCGAAAAGAATAAAACATCAGCTACTGGAACTTCAAAGCTTGAAGCCGTCCATATTCCACTGGGAACTCAAAGGAGTAAAGAAAAATTAATAAATAAAATAGGTTTCATATATCGGCTTAAAGGCATTGTTGAGATTAACCTTATAACCCGTCTCTATAATATGCTTCGCTATAGATAATGTTGGGCATCTATTTCAGAGAGAAATAACAGAGAGAAATTCAATTCACTAAAGCCCACGCAGTCCAAATTAGCACACATGTATGGTCTGCCCAAAACACATAGACCTAACATTCCTCTACGTCCCATAATGTCAATGTGCAGATCTCCAACCCACAAACTTGCACAGTTGCTAGTGGAAATATTAGAGCCTATTAGAAGAAGCTTTTGTAAGTTCTCATTGAAAGACAGTTTTGAGTTAATTGATTGTCTTGATAACGCTGACATAAAGGACAAAACCATGTTTTCCCTATAAGTATAAAACTTGGGCACAAAGGTGCTCGAAACGTCATCAGTTAATATAACTGTACTACACTGTGTGATTTATCAAAATAAAATCTTATCCATTATGGAATCATGTTTTCCCTAGATGTTGAATCTTTATTTACAAATGTACCTCTTTTACAGACGGTTGACATTTTATGTGATTACATCTCCGACAACAATTTACTATTACCAGACAACACCTCACTGAAATATTGTTAGATAACAATTACCCAATGAGATTTATTAGACGCTACGGAAGTGTCAACCATAGAGCTTTACCAATCCAATCAGCTCCCAAAATGGATGTTTACATATCCCTGCCGTTCAGAGGTGATCAACAAAGTCTAGTCACTAGACAAAGACTCAAGGCCGCAGTTAATAGAGCCTATTATGCAGCTAAACTTATCTTCATAGAGAAAACGAGGACTATGCTGTCCTGTAAACCCTAAAATTATCCGAACGATAGTGTCACATCCCACTGTGTTTATCAATTTACATGTATGTGTGGAGACACGTACATAGGGAGAATCCATAGGCGTCTGCGGGTTAGGGCTACAGAACACATCCCAAAGTGGCTGCAGCAACAAATGAAATCACCAGACACAAATGAACCCGGAAATAGATGTCCAACATCATCTATAGCGAAAAATAGGTTTCACTTTAGACAGACGGAACACAACTCATAAGATTATATGCAACCAGTAAGTAATACTGTTTTACTGTGTGTGTGTGTGTGTTTGCTTGTTAAGTGCGAATATCTAAACACGAAAACGCGCCTGTGAATTTCTTGTGACCTCAAAAAGAGATCACTTCGCAATTATTATGGATACATATGGATACGGATCAAGTTTCTTAATTAATCAAAAAAAATCATGAATAGGTAATACGACAATTTTGGTTTAGTTGTGTTCTCTGAGCTATTTGATTTAATCGCGGAGCTGGCTGCATTTTTAGCGTTTCCTCATTTTAAGATTTCCACATTCTCCGGACCATCAAATTGGTGTCTGTAATTATCTACATTCATCGATATGAAACAGGAATACATATCGTGCCTTTTCACAGCTGATTTATATCTGATATCAAAGCAACGGGTATCGAGAAAACAAGGCAAGCTTTCACTACTCTTAAGTTTGTGTGGAGATCAACAGCACTCATCATGCGGATTATCAACTCCAATGTGAAATCAATGCTACTTACTATACGAATCAGAGACTTGGAGCGTCATGAAGAGCACCTGAATCAAATTACGGACCTTCAACAGCAGCTGTCTTCGCTCAATACTACTCAAGATCAGATGGCCGTCCAGAAAAGATCAACAACAGGCAGGGATCTCTGGGAGCGAACCAACCCAGCCGGAACCAATTGTGCAACAAATAAGCAGGAAGAAATAGAGGTGGATTGGCCATACTCTGAGGAAACAAACCATCTAGTGACAAAACACTTTAGACCATTGCTCTACTGGGACCCGAATGGGAAGCGGCAAGTCGGTGTTCCGAGGGTGAAATGGAGGAGGAGGTAAAGAGGAGATGAAAACATGTAGGCAGACGTGGAGCCAGGTGAAAACGTTGGCAGAGAACCGAACGCAATGGAGACGTGTAGCTGAAGCCCTATGTTCTTCTAGGAACTAAATGAAACAACATTAATATATAATAATAATAATAATCACACTCGGTCAGTACTTTCATCTCACCGAGTAAAATGACGGGGTAAAATAAGGTTTTGTAGACTTTTTATACTTTGTCATTCGAGTATAAAGTCGTTTAAAAAAATCCTCTTAATCCTACCTGATGAGATGTAGTGGGGGAGAGTTGTGTACCCAGAGGATTCTCAGACTTTGACAAGGTAGTATTCGCCATTATCTTGTATGAGTTCAAATGTCTATCTACAAGAATAATGACAGTTTGATTTAACTGTACCTCAATCATCTTATAGCGATGTAACAAAGTTTATCTTAAGCAGACCAGGAAAGATTAAAGTAGAGGGGAGGGGAATAAAGAAGAATAAGGTAGAATACAAGAACTGATAAACTATAAAAATTAGAATTAAAAGTCAGTCTGAACGTAGAATATTCTTTTCAATAAGTTCTCCTCTTCAGGTTCATACAATATTATTTTATATATATTATAAATTATGATATTTACTGTTGGTGGCACAGCGGTTTGGACTCTCGCTGACCATGCACATGGTCCGGGGTTCGATCCCCTGCCGACGCACACCCGATATCAATGGTTGACCTACAAAATTTGGTCTACCGATATCACATGCTGGAAGTTCCATACTTGTACCAAAAATACGGTGTGGAATCAAGCTATAATAAAAAAGTAATAATAATGGCCAGTTATGCGGCGGATACATTTTTCTCAAACAGATTAGCAATTCTGGGGTGTCAAAATAAATAGTCATATTTGTGTGAAAAACGTGCTAGGCTGAAATCGATTACAAAATATCGTAAAACGGGAGACAATGGTGGTGATTAGTCGTCATAATAGATTCGTAGAATGTGGGGTAGGAAAACTGACTAGTAGCCAGTTCAAGGTAATAAAAGGTGTCAGATGAGTGGCTACTACAAAGTGATATGTATTAAATAGGAGGAGATGGTAAAACTGCAATCAGAAGTTCATAATGAAATAACGAATGTGTGAAATGAAACAGGTGGAGGCATATATTGAGAAAAGAGATAATATCACTAATAATAATAAGTCCGGATAGTATAAATGGAAAATTCGATAGCATTGAGAGAATGTTTGCCTGGTTCAGCAGGGGAGAAATTAAGTGCATAAAAAGCTCGACCTTGTCACAATTGGTTGATATTGAACATCACATCGATGTCAACACCGCTTTTGGGGTTATATACCGAATTCCGAAGTCGTTATCACGTACAGTTCACTTACGTCTCCTATACATAGCTGAAGCTGTAGCAATAAGGTAGACTAAACAGGAACTTTGTATCCAAAAAAAGGAACACGTCCAGACCCTGTTCCTACCGTGGCCAAACTTGGATTGATGATTCTTCTTCTCACCAAGAGTGCCTATCCTCCTTATTCCTCTTGGTTATTTTCTTCTTTTTCTTTACTTACTATTACAATTATTATTATTCTTCATAATTTATACTCTTCATTCAAGCGCTTTCTCAATACTATCGAATTTTCCATTTATACTATCCGGAATTATTATTATTATTAGTGATATTATCTCCTTTCTCAATATATTCTCCCACCTGTTTCATTTCACACATTTGTTATTTCATGATGCACCTCTCATTGCAGTCTTACTGTCTCCTCTTTAATACCTTGAACAAAGTGACTTCTCAGTTTTCCCACCCTACATTCTTCGAATCTATTGTGATGGCTAATCACCACTACTGTCTCCCATTTTACAATATTTTGTAATCGATTTCAGCCTAGCACGACGTTTGCCACACAAATATGACTATTTACTTTGACACCCCATAACTAATCTGTTATTCGCCGTATAACTGGCCATTATTGTAACGACAATAAATATCATATTTGATAATTGTAAGAACCTGGAGTGGACGATCTATTGAAAAGAATATTCTTCGTTCAGATTAAGTTTTAATTCATGGTATGGGAATATTTCACACTATTAAATCTTTTAAAAATTAGAGACTGAATAATACCAGACTGTATTTAATTCTTTCGCAACAGGTAAGACAAAATATCTTTCTAGAAATCAATATGCTGTGAGAATACCAGGAAATATCAGAGGAAGGACACACTCCAAGGTATTTAACATTCGACATAATTTCAACTTCAATCTCTTCTGTGATATACTTGGATCATAAGAACGAACCAGTTCATGTAAATTACACCTTTATGTCTAAAAGTGAAATTAACAAGCCAGCATTTGAGGGGATATATCATTAAGACCATTCGGCAAGGACCACCATCTGAAAGTGGCGCTATACATCGCAAATTAGGAGACGTTGGATTTCATCTCATTGGCTGAACGGTCAACCGGCTCTCCTTGTAACTCGAAGTTTGGTCATTCGACGCCTGACGGTCATTTTATGAGTGCATACAGATGAAGAGGAGTCCCACCAAACAAATATGAAACAGTTGTTCATCAATACTCAACGCTGATTCTATCAATGGTTAGTCATCAAATGTGAAATCGATCGAATCCACGTAAACCAGATACTTTCAAAAATATACAAGACAAATTCAATCTCTAAACACAATGACTAACCAACCAACCAACCAAGCCAATATCGATTCATTCAGACAAAAACAAAATAACAAAAAGATACACACTTACTCAATCTTATTGATTCGTTGAGTATCTAAACCATCAACATTAAAAGTATTTTCATTTTTAGAGTATGGTCTAAACTGGCTTATATCACTTTCACCACTAAATATTTGTGTATTGTTTAATTTATGATTAACATTTATAGAAATTTCAGTTTGATTATTATTATTTAAAGTATTTCCAGTGTCTTCACGGTGTTGTTGCTGTTGTTGTTGTTTATCAGCTGTTGCTAATGACAACGATGTAGACGGGGATGAGATTGATAGAGAATTCGATGGAAGTGTATAATGCCTTCTTCGTGTACGATTAACGCTGGCTAGAAGAATGGATGAAAGTGGAAAGAAAACAAAAAAAGAAAAATCAATACTCAAAGTTCAATTATGTAATTGATACATAGACTATTTAATTGAATTTTAGATTTTCCCGTCGATTGATTGGTCTCAGGTTGACATGTCGGTTTCTTGTGCACATGCTTCAACGATGTCTGGGCCCAAGTGGTCTAGTGGATAACGCTTTGGCGTTTGAAACTATGGGCACTGGGTTAGAGCCTAGGTGGGAACATCATCACTCAATGACTGGGGAATGCAGGCACATCCAGCTGGAAGATGAGTCCCAAATAGGACGAAATGCGCATTATCCTGCATTCCACTGTTAGTCACCATCCAACATAAAAACACCAAATACGAAAAGTGAACAGATCTTGTTCCGTAATTCTTTTGCATTTCGAGTGATCCGTAGCGCCACTAGAAAGTAGTTTTAAAGTATCATGAGGTGAAGCTCCTAGGCTGACGTACAACCTTCCTTCTTGTCTTTGTCCAATATCTATCACAGCCAGTAAGGAAAACGAGGTTTATGAATACGCATTGGTCAGGAGTTCAACCCAGACTACTTGCCCATTTTGCTAACTCGCTGTAAGCTCTTACTCATGTAGTCAGGTAAGAGCCTACGGCGAGTTGTCATCTGAAGTGGCGACAGCTTGTGGTGTACGTCAAGGATGCCCGCTGTATCCATTTCTATTTTAACTTTATCATAGATGCACTAATGGAATTAACCCTAAGCAACTTCAGCGACTCAGGGATTGACTTGTCACCACCAGGGAAGAATCTCGTTGACTTGGAATATACAGATGATATAGTCTTCCCTCCTAGGTGAGGACGAGGAAATAATGAAGAGTTTTCTGAACACCTTGAAGGGTAGCAATCTTTGAATGTTTGACATGCGATTCGATCGCGCCAAATCTAAGATGATGCTTCAGGACTGGATCACTTCACTTATTTAAGGAGTTGTATCAACCGATGCCAGTGGGTTGATCACTGACGAAATCTCAGCACGGATACAGAAGGCTAGTTTCGCATATGCTAGTTTACGCCACCTCTGGCGTAGACGTGATATCCATCTGGCTACCGACCAAAGGATGTGTGTACAGCTCATTAGTCCGCTCTGTCCTCTTTTATTGCAGGCTGTGAGTGAGACCTGGCCACTGAAAGTGGAGGACATGAAAAGGTTAGTTGGCTGTTTTTGATCATAGGTGTCTGCGTTCTATCTCCCATGTTAGGTGGCATAATAGGACGACCAATATTGAGGTTATGCATCGATCGACCAGTAGATAAGGAGAAGGAATCAACTCCAGACCAGTGCATAGGTTTGAGGCGTCGGTGGTCCCATGGCAGAATACTCTCCAAGCATGCAGGTGAACAAGATTCGATTCTCACCCGGCACAATTCTAAACACTGTCTAGTTGACAATACCACCAAAACAACCAATGGAACTTCAGAGCTAACAGCCTGAAGCCCTATGTTCTATTTGGAACGCAAAGAAATGTGAACCACTCAGTTCAGAAAACACAAGCAAATCAAAATCCCTAAATGGTTATCTCAAATAAAATGGATGAACATTAAGACCAGTGTTGCTTTTAGAATAAAATTCTACAAAAAAGTCATCTTATACTCAAGGAATGTGCCAATCTTTAAGTCTTATCAGGGTATTGTTGCACAAAAAAACCGAGCTTACTGTTCATGGTCTCTTAGTTTTCCCTTATCGTCCGTCCACCAGACATCAACTTGTTATGACATGATTAATCAAATCACGCACATGAGATCAGATAATCAACTGATGAGATATTGTAAATCACCGAGTTATTCAAACACATATTTCTAAGCTTTTAAGACTATCAAATCAAAGTCATACCAGTTATATGCTACCTGTCAATTGCGTTGATGATCACACAAGCCTATCAAATGCTTGAATTTCAATTCAAACTGAATTCAGTTAGAGGGATCATTGAAAACAAGGGTGCATAGGACAGCTGTTTCATCCTAACCCTGGGCTTTTCATCAGTGTAAACTTGCGGTCCCACTGTCAGGAATCGAACCCAGAACCTTTTGGGGTACCAGATCAAACTCACTTAACATTTAGCTTCTTGGTACGGAATTCAATGATCAGTGGATTCGAACTTTATCAAGCAATGACTTCGACGAGCATTCACTTTACCTTGACTGACATTTTCAGGATCCTACTGATCATGACACCAAGCTACAGCTGGAGGACATCCATTCAGCAGCCATCAGTGAACTGGGATTTGGACACTTCGGGAGATACTTAAACTTAAGATTTTACGGAAATTAACTACGTATATTGGTGAGTAAAGGGAAAAATGCATACATGTTTATGCAATAAGTACACAGTTTAGAGATTAAATTTCTAAAAGTTCTCATTTGAAATTCTGGCTAATCGGGAAGGTCTCCCTGAAGGATTAATTACACAACACTGGCATCATATCGCAGAAAGACAATATTACTAGGGAATAAATAAGTTACTGGATTCCAGTGAAGGGAGTGAATGTTAACAGACTTGTCTTGTAAGTCGGTACTTCTAAGAATGCGGCTACTGGCACACTATTAAAAAGCTCCACACATTCAGACGAAACGTATTTTCAGCGCTATTAAGCTTTCAATTATTCTTTCTATGAGTAATAATATAAATCCATGACAAAATCTACCCTTTGGATTCCGAGTGGAACATGAAGCTTCAAGCTTTGATCTCTCAAGTTACAGTAGTATTGGTGTTGCTTTCTATGCTATGGGATTACTAGCCTCATACCTAACCTCCCCTGCACGCATGTGCAGCAGTTCGAGTCACCACACGTCACTTAGCCCACAAAGCAAGAGAAGAAAGTAAAAAGAAATGCAAAACATAGACAGTAAACAGAGATATGAGGCAACAGTTATAGTAATACCGAAGAACCATATAGTTTTACTGGATAAGTCACAAAGAATAGATGCATCTTCACCAGGCATCACTGAGAACGACGATTTTGAGCCATACCGCCACCAATTGTCTCTAACCAGTGGTGTTTACCGTTGCAAGGACCCCAACTGGGAAGTCTACATCTCCCTAGGTGGCTTAAACTAACTGTTGTGGATTTCATTGACCGATGAATCCATGTCTTGGTGTGACCACCACTAGCTAACTCTTTTCCAACCTGATCCATGCTATGTCAGCTAACAAACACTGCCCGTCGAGGAGGGCGATGGCTAGGCATGCATGCGTAACACATGTCCTAACCATTTCAATCGATGTAACTTTATAGCCTCGTTTATTAGTTTCCCCTACTTACCTACCGGTCTATCGACGCCTAACCTCAAACTTGCTCATCTTATTACACCAGCACTTAACACATGACATAGATAGAGTGCAGACACTTACGATCAAAGACAGCTAGCCAGGTTTTTCATGTCTCCCACTTTCAATAGTCATGTTTCACAGCCTGCAATAAAGGAGGACGGAGCGGACTGCTGAGCAGTACACACGTCCTTTGGTCGACAGCCAGCCAGATATGACGTCTGCTAAGCCAGAAATAGCGTAATTTGGCCAAAAAATGCCAAACGATTCGTGCTGAGATTTCGTCAGCGATCAACCCGACGATGCTGGTGTTGGCTGATGCAACGCTCCACTAACCACTTCACTCATACCTATGTTTAAGCTAGGAGTGAGTGAGTCGATGCAGTCCAATCCTGTAGTATCATCGTCTTACATTTGACAGGAGCAGGTGAATCGCATGTCCAACAATCGCAAATTGCGATTCATGGTGTTGAGAAGACTCCGCTCTATTTTGTCAGCATCTTCACCTAGCAGGGAAGACTATATCATCTGTATATATATTAAGTCAATGAAATTATTCCCACGGTAGTAACATATCAATATATCAAAACCAGAATCCAAATGGCACGACAGGCCTTCACCAATCTGAAATCAATATAGAAATACGCTACACTCAGAATGAAGAGCGAAATTTGGATTTTAAGCACCAATATCAAGTCAATTCTTGTTTACAGGATTTCATTATGAGGTGACATTAGTTAGAGAACTATTGGAAAACCTGGGAGTGCTGGAGAGCCGTTTCGTCCTAGTTTGTGACTCTTCAGCGGTACTCACTCACACCACGGGGTTCGAACCCAGGACCTTCTGGGTTACAAGGCTAGCGAGCTCGTAGACCATTAAGCCACTGGGATCCGATCCAATGGCCAGTTCATGAATTCTAACTTCTGCCAATTCACGACACAGCGCGACCCTTAGCCAATGTTTTCGGCGAGTATTTGTCCTCACACCCGACCCACTGCACCCTACTGGTCACGACTTCCCTATGGAACCCCAGGTAACCACCTACCTGAATAGGGCAAGTCGCTAGTGAGCATCACATTGATATTCAAGTGTTCGTTTGTACAAACCAACACTTGAATATAAATTCTTGTTTATAAATAAAGAACTGTCACGTCACGAAAAGCATATCCAACACAAGTCACTTCAGACTTTATCAACAGCTACTGCTTTCTCTGGCACCAAGCTGAATATCACATGACCCCGGTCAGAAAAAATTGGCAAACAAATAACTCTGACAAAAGACGAACCAAACAAGAAAATGGTGATGGATCCTCGGACACACGCACACACACACAACTGTGGAGACCATTTACTGATATCCCGCCCTAAGCCAAACCTCAAATGGAACCCGAATGCAAAGCATGCGACGACTTAGACGTTGATTCGCGGGTGAAATAGAGGAGATCGCGTGAAAAGAAGATAATCGCTTATGGGTAATTGTGGAGACAGACGAAAACACACTTCAGAGAAGAGAGTGTAAGATAGTTATACCGCTGAAGCCATACGGTTCACTCAGCCTCCAAAGCCTCAGGATGGTCGGGGATGGGTGCCTTGCGCTGCGGGTTGGCCACCCCTCCTCACACCTCTTGAAATGCTCCCATATGACCGGGCGTCTTACATAGCCTCTCCTGAGGAAGTCCTACTCACTGCCTTCAC